GCGTGATTTATTAGAAAAGCGGAAACTTTTAGACTAGAATGATGTCATGTATGAAAGTCACAAAAAGGAGTAAGCAGGATTGATTGTGGGTTAATGAGCTATTTTTTTCTGCTTGATATATGAAGCAAGGGTTGAGGTATAGTAGAGTCAGGTATAGTTGAGGTCAGTAAGTGTGAGAAGCTTATAGAAGATAAAATAATCCTGAGTTATTGTTTTTAATTTGAGACGAGAAGCAACTGGAAATAATCACATGAAAATGACATACAATGGTCGTTAAAATTATATTTTCAGGGGAGTGATTTTTGTATCTGAGTGTAGGATAGGCTTGAGGGATTGGATGGAAGATGGAGTATTAATGAGAGTGTGCTCACTGAGGAAGGTTTGGGACTATGGCCACATGGATGGAGTTGGAGGGAGATAGGAAGAAATGATTCATCTTGGTAAGGAAGTAAGGGCAGAGCTCAGCAGTGGAAATACAGAGATGTGGGAGTAATCCGTATCCTGCGTCTAACTCATGTGCCTGGTATTACCCTGTCTATGAAACGAGGACAGTTAGGCTTACCTCACAGGAAGTGTGAGTCTTAAAGTGGCACCCTCTGTGGGACAGTGCACAGCTCGGGTGCCCGCGATAAAGAGGACCTCCTCAGGTGGAGGGATTGCTAAACACTTGGTGTCCTGAAGAAAGCGCTCTGTTCCTGGCCCAGCACTTCCATTATGGCTCAAACACTGACGCCCATGAATTTGGAAAAGGTGCAGGGAAGTTTGGAATAGGTCTGACCTGGGTGTGAATTGCAGTTCTGAGGCATGAAAGTTAGCCCACCCCTCATTTTCTCCTTCTTGGGCGTATTCATTCAGCAGTGAGGGAGTTATTCCTGCCTCAGTGGGTGTCAATAACATACATTTATTTCTATTTTATTGATTTTTTTACAGAGAGGAGGAGAGAGTGATAGAGAGTTAGAAACATTGATGAGAGAGAAACATCGATCAGGTGCCTCTGCACACTCCCTACTGGGGATGTGCCCGCAACCAAGGTACATGCCCTTGACCGGAATCGAACCTGGGACCCTTCAGTCCGCTCTGTCCACTGAGCCAAACCGATTAGGGCTCAATAATTTATTTTAAACTGGAGAATCCTGTTGTTTTTTAATTAAAAATTTAAAAAAATATTGTTGCCGAAACCGGTTTGGCTCAGTGGATGGAGCGTCGGCTTGCGGACTGGGGGGTCCCAGGTTCGATTCCGGTCGAGGGCATGTGCCTGGGTTGTGGGCACATCCCCCAGTGGGAGATGTGCAGGAGGCAGCTGATCGATGTTCCTCTCTCATCGATGTTTCTAACTCTCTATCTCTCTCCCTTCCTCTCTGTGAAAAATCAATAAAATATATTAAAAAAAAAATTTAAAAAAATATTGTTGAGAGTATTACAGATGTCCCTCATTTTTTTTTTTTTTTTCCATTGCTGGGAACCACACTCAGCATTTCAGCATCAAGCTGCCAGAACTTTCAACTGTATCTGTTAGCATCTCGGCTTTATATCCATTTATTTTGTGCATCTATATGCAAGATGTGTCCTCAGGTAATTGTTTGTTCACTTTATGCCATTTTGGCTTATGATGGTTTCATAGGAATAGCTCTACTTTTGGATTGCGGGGGAAGCCCATACTTTGTGCTGGAAACAAACAACACCTTCCAAATCTCAGCTCAACTAAAGATGGAATCCATCAGTAGCTAATTCTAAATTCTTTTCTAAACCTATTAGAACGTGATAAGAAGGTAAAAATTAATGGGTGTTAAAAAGCCTTTATTTTGGATTTGAGACTCTTTCCATAGTTATTTTGATGGAAACAAATTTTCATAATATGAACAACTGGTAAATTTATAACTATGCCAGATGATAAAAAAAGGGTAGAAGAAATTGATCCTTTTTGTATAGTTTAAGTTTCTTTGATTAATGTTTTCATTTATAGTTATCTATACCTTTCCTGTGAATCAGTTGAGCATTAAGAGATACAGTCATTCTCATGTTATTAAAACTATCAAAAAGAATTGTAAAATTCAGAAGATATATAGGTGTTGAAATGGCCTGTGATTTAGATTGTTTCTATATAAATATTGTTGTAGTCTGTCTAGGCCACCCTTCATTCGGTTAACAGTTAAATGGAGATTTCTCCTTCATTTTGAATGCTAAAGGTTAACTGTTGAAGTACAGTATAGGCTTGGTGGCAGCCCCTTCCCTGTTCTAATAGTGAGGCTGGGTAGATAATGTCTCCACTAGTATATCATTTACTGTTCATATTATTTCTGTGATTTTAAAGAAATAACGTATTCTTATAACAGAAGAATGAGACATATAATTAAAGTAATTGTGTTTTTTATTGAAGGATTAGCAGAAGGAATGCATAAAGAAGTGAAATTTATTTCTGTGACAAATATTTGTAAAGTGCCTACTATGTGGCACATACTGTTGTAGGCGTTTGGGATGTATTAGAAAACAAAACATGAACATCTGTGCCCTTGAGGTGTTTTAGATGGCAGGCGTGCTGTGGGCCAAGTTGAAAATGCAAGGTGGTCCAAATTCTTAAGCTGAGTTCTAACCTCCAGTATCTCAGAATGTGACCTTATTTGGAGACAGGGTTTTTACAGAGATAATAGAGTTAAAGTGAGGTAATTAGGATCAATTCTAATTCAACATATGATGTATGTTTTTTATAAAAACAGGGATTTTGGACACAGGAATATGTGTAGAGGGAAGACGATGTGAATAGGCCAAAAGAAGATGAACTAAGGATAGAGGTCTTTGCAGCTCTCAGTAGGAACCAACTCTACTGACACCTTGATCTCAGAATTGTAACCTCTAGAACTGTGGGAGAAAAAATTTCTTGTTCAAGTCAAATAAATAAATAAAATACAAAAAGAAAGTGCAAGGTGGGAGTTTTGTCAGGAGGCGTGGCAGCGGCAGTGCTCCCATCTGGCCACAAGGCAGCGGCCTCGCACCGCAGAAAGGCACTGCTTCCCCTGGAGAGCCTGCAGTGTGGGCGGCATCCCTGACACTGAGTTCTGTGAGGTGGCCTGTGGTAGAACGGGCTGTATTTAACCCTGTCCCGTGGTCACGTTAACTTACAGTGAGTGGTGTACAGCTATACAGAGTGAGAGATTATGAAATTACCATAATGAAAGTCTTTTGGGTGGTTAAATTAATTTCTACAGATTTTTACACGTGGTAACATGGCTTGTAGAGTTGCAATTTCCTATTTTCATTACCATGTTTGAGTAATATACAGTTTAATAATAGAAGAAACATTTAAAAGTTAACTGCAAAGAATTTACGCTATCAATAATTTTACCTTACTTCCTTTCATTTTGTTTCCTTGTGACCAGTTTGTATTTCATACATAATCATAAGGAATATATACACATATATATTTTCATTTAGCATTGTTACGAAAGTCAACCATGCAGTTTTCCAAGCATAGCACTTGATTGATAGTTGTTTTCTTATGTGGCCAGGATTATGGGACAAAAGAAAGAATTCCAGTGAAAGTCATATTGTGGCATACTACCGTACATCATAGAAGGGCAGAAAAGAAACTGATTTAAGTGAGAAGAAATAGTCGCGTGTTACTTCATCTTAGTTTATAAGAAACGTGTTTTAAAAGAAGGTTTGCCAGCCAATTTCATAATCTCTGTCTGAATATTGAACTTTAGGTTTTACCTTCCTTCCAGGGTAAGGGGTCTCTGAAATGTAGACTCTCCAGAGCTTTTGGGATGCCCGTGTTATTCTTGGCAGGACCCCTGAGCTTCTTGTTTGGGCTTCTCCTTACCTTCTCCCTGAGACCCCAAGGTCTCTTTCATCTGCTCATCATTGGAGGAAGTGTCTGGAGGCCACATTTCTCCTCTTTGGTGGAGTAATGTTCCATTTTCCAGGGGTCTGCTCCTGAGACTCTGGCACCACCCTCTGTTTTTCCACCCTTTAGTATTCCGATGGCTGCCTTCCCTCGATTGTTGTCATTGGTTGTGTTGATTTCATTTAGTTAGTGATGAGAGACCAGGCTCTTGTCCCAAAGCAGTTGTCCTCAAAGTCTGTTCCCAGACCAGCAGCATCAGCCTCATCTGGTCACTTGTAAGAAATGCAGTGTCTCAGGCCCAATTCGATCCTACTGAATCAGCAGCCTGTTTGAAGGAGTCCTCTAAAGTCTGAGAATCACTGCCCTTAGCTATCGCTACTTTAATCAGAGAAGTAACACCGTTAGCTCTGAGCACAGTTGCTCTCCCAATTTTGGTACATGCCAGCATAAAAACTGATGATTTCTCAGCCCTTGAAATCTAGGCAGTTAAAAATTTAAATTACATATTTTTTTGATTTTTGAATGCCAGTATTTCTGCCCCATAATACTTTCTATTTAAAGTGATAATACTTTTGACTTCAAATTTATTAACGTGGATGTCTTTTGGGACTTTTGTTGGCCGTTTGAATCATCGAATGAATATGGTGTAGAGGAAGTATTCCATAGTCGCCACCTTTCACTATGGCCTTTTCTCGTCCCTATCACCATTTCTCACTCCTTCATTGACTACCACTGCAGCTGTCTCACTGAGTCACTCTGCCCGTTGGTGAGACCAGTTTTGTGAATCAGCCCCGGCTGGCACTGTCTACCACTGAGCTGCCTTCTGCTTTTTCTGGAACAGATACAAGTTTGTGCCATGAGACAGTCGGGCTTCTCAGCCCTGCCTCCAGTCCTTTAAATATACACTTTAGATCCTGAGTACAAGTTTGGCAGTAAAGTGAGGTCTTATAAACAGAAAACAAAAAAAGTGCTTTTTACTATGGGCTAAAAACTGGCAAATGTAAAAAGCAGGACTTTTAGAATATTGGTTATTCAAGGACTGGTTATGCAAATACTACCTAAGAAGTGAGTATAGATTTTCCTAATAGATCAGGTAAAATGGATGCTTAAGAGAGATTAGTGATTTGAAATACTAGGTATTTATGTCTATTTCTTGTAGATCTAGAAAGGAAGGAGCAAGAATTAGAGCAACTGAGAATGGATTGTGAGCACTTTAAAGCACGCCTGGAGACTGTGCAAGCCGACAGCGTGAGAGAGAAGAAGGTATGATGCTCACAGATCGCTGCTTGAAACACCAGCATTGTGGCTGCGTCTACTCAGCGGTGTTGGCCACTTGTCTTTCTAGCCTTTAAGCATCAGGAGATTGTATTTTTAAATGTTTGTATGTATGTATTTTGAATGGGTTGGAAAATAGTTGAACATTTGGATTTTATAACTGGAGATTATTTACTTGGTGCTTTTTAATAGTCACCGTTAATTTTTATGTTTAAAAGGCCATTCCTAAACATAAAAATTCATAATAAAAGTATTGAAGAAAAATATTGTACACATAATTTATAATCAGAGGTGATGTATTAAATAAAATATTTGTAATTAATTTAGGGATCATTTACTGATATTTAAAAATTAACCAATTTTATTTAATATTAGGGGAGACTAACAATATTTCTTGAAAATTACACATTTTTACTTTTGGAATGGAATAAATTTCTTCTTCTGTAAAATGAACTATTCTACCCCTCCTGGTAAAATTTGGAGCTTGAATATGCATTTTTTTAACACATATATTTTTACTGATTTCAGAGAGGAGAGGAGAGAAAGATGGAAACATCAATGAAGAGAGAGAAGCATTGTTTGGCTGCCTCCTGCACGCCCCACACTGGGGATTGAGCCTGAAACCTGGGCATGTGCCCTGACCAGGAATCTACCGTGACCTCTCCTGGTTCATAGGTTGATGCTCAACCACTGAGCCATGTCGGCTGGGCTTGAATGTATTTTTATTTTTGAATAGTAAAACAATAATTGTACTAGTAATAACTAGCTAGTGTGTATTGTTTACTGCATGCTGGCAGGTGGTCAGTGGCTGTCCATGCATCTCACTTGCTTCTCCCAGCACAGCTAGGGCAGCAGGTACTACTAACTTACAGGAATGACTCCTCCCTGTGTACAAAGTTTTATTTCATACTGTCTTCTCATGTGAAGGAATTCTGAATGTGGCTGTAAAGAGGTTTTCCAAAACGAGGGGAATTTTTATAGACTTTATATTGAGCAAGTAGAAAAGGTTAGAGAAAACGGTTTAGTCTTAAAACTGGGTTAGGTGGAACATCACATAGTGAAAGGTTAAATTTTAGCTTTGCTGTATTCTGCGTAGATCATGATAAACTAAAATGGCAGTGTCTGGGCCTAAAGTATCATGGTCAGAAAGAAGTTGACCAATAGGCAAGAAGGAATTTGATCAATGTTAACAATGCAATTCATTGGTTCAGTTCCTTCTTAAATTGCTGAGACATCCTTGTTGAAGCTTACATTGGAACAGAATCTTAGATTTCCTGTTTTTTTTTAAGTTGAAAGCATAGGGAAAATGCATGTTTTGCTGGCATGTTAGCTGTAATGCTTAAAAATAAACCATTCTACTAGTGCCAGTATAGAGGATGAAAGGGCCTTGGTAAAGCAGCTTCACATCACCAGCGTGTTGTTGCCTTCACAATGATCTTAGTTGAAGTGGGAATATTTTATTTTATTATTTATTTATTTGTTAATCCTTTTTTCCATTGATTTTTTTTAGAGAGAGTGGAAGGGAGGAAGAGAGGAGAGAAGGAAAGAAAGAGAGAGAAACATTAATATGAGAGACACATTGATTGGTTGCCTTCCATATGCACCCTGCACACGCCCCAACCAGGACCGGGGATCGAATCTGCAACCTAAGTATGTGCCCTTGACTCAGATTCAAACATGAGACTCTAAGGTGCTCATTTGGGCTGACACTCTAACCACCGAGAAACATTGGCCAGGGCAGAAGTGGGGATATTTTAGGGTAAATTGTTTCCAGTGAAGTTTGCTGTTTAGTAGGCCCCCCAGTGTAATACAAGTTTGTGTAACAAGACCATGTCTCCTTGCTGTGGAGAACTGGCAGCTGCCTTTTCTGTGGTCTCTGTCCAGGTCTCCACAGATCATGTGCCAGACTCTGGAAGCTTATTTTAGAGTTGAGGAACCAGGAAAGATTCCAGAGGCTATCCTAAGTTAGAGTATTGCTAGTAAGTACTCCAGCGTGGATGAAAGTCGTTAGGGAAAGGTGGAAGGTACTGATTCCAGTATGAAAGAAGAGATCAGATAAAGAATGGACTCAAATTCATAAAGCAGTAGCGCCCACCTGCCCTAGACTGGTGACTGGAACAAGGAAAACTTGGCTCCTGACCTCAGTTGAGATGTTTCCTTAGTGTGATTGAGTCAGATCAGTGGAGGAAGCCAGCTGGGCCTTGATGTGATCTATGAGACTGGCCCAGAGAGTCCTGGCAAAGCAGCCTTTGAACTCTGCAAGAGAAAGAGCCCAGCGTTTATGGTGTAGGTGAAACTGTCAGAGGGTAGCTGGGTGACTTTTTGAAGGACTGTGCTGTCACTGTAAGGTTAGAGGAGGCTTTCCACCTGCTGGCGGCCCTTTTTTAGTGCCTGGCTGGCTTTTCTGTGTGAAGTGATCGCAGACAATATACAGTTCCCTGTGTTCTTGAGGAGCAGGCCTTTCAGTGGTTTACCTGTGGTTTTGTCCTCTCTGTGTGTTGCTTTGTTCTGGCATGCACCTTTCACAGTCAGTACACTAACAAGTATGGACTGCCAAATTTTGTTATTGTCATTTTTAATTTGGTAGGAAAGAATTACTACTTTTATGGTAATAAAAGGAAAGTTGTTGCAAACTTTGTACATTATTTCAGAAAACTTTTAAAAGAAAAACTAACTAATAGTATAGTTCAATTAAAATCAAAAATAACTTCAGAGTTTGAAGGAACCTGGAAAGTATTGTACTTGATACCCTGTTATGTATCAATATTCACTTTAAGTAAGCAAATATATCAGGGTTTGATTAACGTTTATTTTAAAACAGCTTTATTGAGCTATATTTTATATACCACAAAATTCATCTATTATACAAGTATAGTTTGATGATTGTTAGTAAATTTATGCAGTTGTAAAACTATCACCCTAATCCAGTTTTTTTGGTAAAAAATTATTTTGAAATAATTACAGATTCATAGGAAGTTGCAAAAAGTCCAGGGAAGTTCCCTATATCTTCACACAGTTTCCCCCACTGGTAACATCTTGCATAACTACAGGACAAACTGAAAGCCAGGAAATTGACATTGATATAATCCCCAGAGTTTATGTAGGTTTCATCAGCATTACCTGGATTTGTTTGTATTTCCCCAATTTTGTATGCACTCATTTGTGTGTACGCCCATAGTTCTAGGCAGTTTTATCACATATAATTTTTTTTTTTTTTTACAAATGAATATCTAGTTGTTTTAGCACCATTTTTTGAAAAGGCAATAATTTTCCATTGAATTGCCGTGTCATCTTTGTTAAAGTTGATTGCCATAAATGTCAGTGTTTCACTGATCTCTGTGTTCGTTCTTATGCCAATCCAACACTGGTTTTATTTTTTATAGCTTTATGATAAGTTTTTGTTTTTGAAATCAGTGCTAGTCCTCTAACAGTTTTTCTTTTTCAAACTTTTTTTTTTTTTTGCACTTCCATATCAGTTTTGGACTCAGATTATCAACTTGTAAAAAAAACAAACCACCTTCTGAAATTTTGATAGGGATTGTGTTGAATCTGTACATCAGTTTTGGGGAGAATTACCAGTTTACCAATCTCAAGTCTTCCAGTCCATGAAAATGGTATATCTTTACATTTACAAGTTACCTTGGAGATATTTTGGGTTTCATTCCAGACCACTGCAAAAAGCCAGGCACACAAATATTTTGGTTTCCCAGCACATATAAAAGTTGACACCATACTATAGTCTATTAAAGTGTGCACTAAGTAGCATTGCATATAAAATATCTACGTACCTTAACTAAAAATACTTCATTGCTAAAAAATGTAACTATCATTCATCAAAGCCTTCGGCTAAGTTGTAATCTTTTTGCTGGTAGAGGGTCTTTTTAACTCAGCTTCTGACTGATCAGGGTGTTTGTGACTATTTCTTAAAATGAGACAGCAATGAAATTTGCTGCATTGATTGACTCTTCCTTTCACAAATGATTTCTCTATAGTATGTGGTGGTGTTTGATAGCATTTTACCCACAGTAGAACTTCTCTCAAAATTGAAGTCAATCCTCTCAAAGCCTGCTACTGCCTTATCAACTATTAAAATCCTTTGTTGACATTTCTACAGTCTTCACAACATCTTCACCAGAAGTGGATTCCATCTCAAGAAACCATTTTCTTTTCTCTTCCATAAGAAGCAAATCCTCATTTGTTAAAGGTTTATCATCACAGTGCAGCATTTCAGTCATATCCTCAAGATCTAATTCTAGTTCTCTTGCTATTTCCACCATATCTGCAATTACTTCCTCCATTGAAGCCTTGAACCCCCCAAAGTCATCAATGAGGGTTGGAATCAATTTCCAAATTCCCATTCATATTGATATTTTGATCTCTTCCAATGAATCACACATGTCCTTAATGGCATCTAGAATGGTGAATCCTTTCCAAAAGGTTTTCAATTTACTTTGCCCAGATCCATCAGAGGAATCTCTATCGATAGTAGCCTTATGGAGCGTTTCTTAAATCATAAGGCTTGAAAGTCTAAATTACTCCTGGACCCATGGGCTATAGAATGGATGTTGTGTTAGTAGACATGAAAACAACATTTATCTCATTGTACATACCCATTAGAGCTCATGAGTGACTAGAAGCACTGTCATTGAGCAGTGATATTTTGAAAGGAATCTTTTTTTCTAAGCAGTAGGTCTCAACAGTGAGCTTAAAACATTCAGTAAACCATACTGTAAATAGATGTGCTGTCATCCATCCTTTGTTGTTCCATTTATAAAGCACTGGCAGAGTCAATTTAGTATATTCTTAAGGGCCCTAGGATTTCCTTTTATTATTATTTTTATTAAATTTATTGGGGTGACATTGGTTAATATCATACAGGTTTCAGGTATGGGTTCCTGTGTTACAAGATCTGTATATTGCACTGTGTGCCCACCCCTCAAAGTCAAATCTTCTCCTGTCACCATATATTAGGGTCCCTTTTACCCCCACATCCCTTCCCTCTGGCAACCACCACACTGCTGTTGTGTCCATGAGTTTCAGTTTTATATCCCACATATGATTGAAATCATATGGTTCTTAGCGTTTCCTGATTGACTTATTTCACTTAGCATAATTTTCTCTCAGTTCATCCATGTTGTTGCAAATGGCAGTATTTCATCCTTTCTTATGGCTGAATAGTATTTCATTGTATATATGGACAACATCTTTATCTAGTCCTCTATCGTAGGGCACTTTGGTTGTTTCCATGTCTTGGCCACCGTGAACATGGGGTGCATATATCTTTCTGAATACATGTTTTCGAGTTTTTCAGGTATATATTCATGAGAGGGATTGCTGTATCATATGGTAGCTCTATTCTTTTTTTTTTTTTAAATATATTTTTATTGATTTCAGAGAGGAAGGGAGAGGGAGAAAGAGAAACATCAATGATGAGTGAGAATCACTGACTGGCTGCCTCCTGCACACCCCCCACTGGGGATCGAGCCTGCAACCTAGGCATGTGCCCTTTGCTGGGATCAAACCTGGGACCCTTCAGTCCACAGGCCGACACTCTATCCATTGAGCCAAACCAGCTGGGGCTCTATTCTTAATTTTTTTGAGGAATGGCCAGCCTCTTTTCCACAGTAGTTGTATCAGCAGTGAATGAGGGTTCTCTTTTCTCCACAACCTCTCCAACACATTATTTGCCTTATTGATAATGGCCACGCTAACAGGTGTGAGGTGGTATCTTGACCTCTCTGAAATCAATAAAAATATATTTTAAAAATGTTTTAAAAAGTGTTGCTCTATATGTGGACTGCTGTTTGAGGTTGTCACTTTGCTCAGATGTCCTAGTTGGTGCTGGTCCTGGGTATAGACACTTTGGACCTGAGATGCCTAATGAGTTCATTTGATTTAAAGAAGATGAAGTTGTGGCTCCACTGCTCCCTTTTCTCCCCTAGATGGAAAGCTCCTCGACTTTGATGGTATTTATAAACTCTAATGTAATAGGATGTTCTTTTCTAAGAGTGTTAATTTTGCCTCTAAATTTTATTTTTAAAATATGGATTATGGCTCTCTAAGGACTAGTTTTCATTTGCCAACTGTTTTCTATGATTCTGTATGCATTTATTTTCTTTAAAATATCTTTGAAAGAGAAAACACGAGATATTTTAAAGTTCAGTGCTATTCATTTTTCTGATTTTGTTTTGATTTCAGGAGAAACTGGCTCTTCGCCAGCAGCTGAATGAAGCGAAGCAGCAACTTCTGCAGCAGGCAGAGTATTGCACAGAGATGGGGGCAGCAGCCTGCACTCTGCTCTGGGGCGTCTCCAGCAGTGAGGAGGTCGTCAAAGCCATTCTGGGAGGAGTAAGCATGGCTATGGACCTTGTTGATTAATGCTTATGGGCTGGGAGGGTGCAGCATGGCTTACATCCATTTCTTTCATCAAATAATTTTGGAATTGTGGTGTGGGGTCCTCTGTAACCTGGTGCTGTGGGGGTATGTAAAATTAATGTAGTAAGTTTGTTTAGGACAGTGAGTAGGTTAGTTAACGCAGAGTGGAGGATTGTGTGGTAAAGTTGTGGGGAGAGAAGGCTTATAAGGTTGGGTGGAGTGTAATTTTGGAAGACCGTCAATGCAGGTTGATGATGCAGTCCAGGTGGGAGGACTGGATTCCTGAGCGTTGACTAAAAGAAGATGGGATAAGGGGAGAGTTTGGGGAAGGTTAACCTGACAGAGAGTGAGTGTGGATTTGAGGGGGCAGGTTGGGGTCTACAGACTGGACATGAAGACGAATTAGAGTTCCAGTGGCTCAGGCTGGAGTGAGCTGGCTCTCTGTAGGGGGGATGGAAGGGAAGGAGAGCCTGTGACTAAGGCCAGTGTGGTGACAGCATGGACTCCACAGCTGACAGAATGAAAGGAACCAAGGAAGACTGAGTGACTCTGGGAAAATGGGATGTCATGAATGGAAATAAAAGTCACAAGGGGATGTTTGGTGGAAGGCCGGTAATAAACTGCTCATCATTCTAAAAATCAAAATTGTATTTGCCTTTCAGGGGAAAGATTTTATTTTTTAAAGTTTATTGAGCTTTATTGAGATGTAATTTATATACCATAAAGTTCGCCCGTCTGTAAGTGTACAACTCAGTGGTGTTGAGCTGACTTCCATAGTAGCACAACATCACCACAACCCAGTCTTAGAGCATTTTTGTCACCCTTGAAGCTCCCTTGTGCCCTGGTTTTCAAACAGGTCCTCAGTGAAGTGCTGCAAAGGCTCTGTAAACTTGGAAATATTGTTATTTTTCTTTTTAAATCTTTATTGTTGAAAGTATTACATAGGTCCCCGCCCCCCCCCCCGCCCCCCCATTAACCTCTTCTAGCCTGCTTCTTTATCTATCTTACATGTTGAGATTTCAGTTAAGACTTTATTTGAAAAGCAGTTTGCCGAAGGTTTGAAAACCCATACATGCCTTTCTAGTATATTGTTGGGTGAATTGATCCCGGTGCTCCATCATTGTGTAAATTTTGAGCTGTTTCCCAAATGTACTTTTATTTTACTCTTTGGGTTAGTCTTTAGGTAATTTTTCTAATACTTATATTTGTATCTAGTAAAGTAAAACCTTTTCCTTTCATCTTTTCAATAGAAACTTTTAATGAGGAATAGATTTTAAAATATTGCCTCTGTAAGTACCACCAAGGTCTTTTCTTATGTATCCTGCACTTTTAACATGTTTCACACTGGTATTTGTGAAGGGGCGTGATGCTCTCATTTCCAAACTTGCAGGATAAAGCTTTGAAGTTTTTCAACATCACTGGTCAGACAATGGAGAGTTTTGTGAAGTCACTGGATGGGGATGTCAAGGAGCTCGATTCTGATGAAAATCAGTTTGTTTTTGCTTTGGCTGGAATTGTGACAAGTAAGTAATTCTTTTAAGCATAGTGGCAGTTTTAAGTGTGTCCTAGAGCAGCGATTACAGTCAGGTGTCTGAGCATAAACCTCTCTCAGGAACTTTTTCAAATGCCATGTGGTTCTCACCCTGGAGACTCTGGTTCTGTGGATCTGGGATAGGTACCAGGTGTGTGATTGTTGCATATCATGCAGGTCATTCTGGTAAGTACGATATTGTTGAGTAAGCATGACTGGTCTTAGGAAGCATGGGACGAGTTTGCATGTTCAGTCTGTGCCTTTACTGAAGTCAGAACAAAACTATGTTGAGCTGCTTATTATTTGGAGTCATTGCCACTTTATTAATGTCTAGTCAAGTAAAAGCCTAAACTATTGCGGGTGTTGTGGTACAATAATTAAGGAATTCCAAAACCTAAACTGTCTCTTTAGTAAATTTCTCCCCAAAATTATACAGTTATGATAGAATTCTGTGGCAAAACTGCTGTACAGATAAAGCCAATCAATCACTGATCTCTTAGTGTATAGTAGGAGTAGTATGTACTAGTGAGGACCAAGGCTTTTTGCTCCAAAGTCAGTGAAATAGTTAAATAGATGCTACGATTTATTTTTTTATGTTGCTCTTTCATCTCTGCTGTGTATCTTAGGTTAATTCTTTGCCATTAAAGAGAGAGAGGACATTTTACTTTTCCTTGTGGCAATATCCTTCACCTACTAAATACTAATGAGACAGGTCCTGTGTAGTCATTGTCCCTCCATAATTCCTTATGATCCTTCTTCTGGGGAGATGTTGAGACTTGTGGTCTTCAGGCCAGTCCTGGTTTATCCAGCATCTACTCTGCAGGACAGCAGGCATCATGCACTCTCATCCTCGCACCTTCTGCTGGAGGAGGCTTGCATTGCTGTACCTTTTCAAATTCTTTTAAGGTTTTTTGTTTCTGTTTTTGTGTGTTTTTTTAACAGAAGGCATTTGTAAATTTGATGACTAGAGTTTTTGCTATTTGCAAGTGACGCCAAAGGTCTATGACATATGTGATTTGTCATTCTGCTGAGTTGTGAATTTGAGCGGCTTGAACTGCAGCTGGTGTGTAATGGTGAGACAGTTGGCCAGTGGGCAGAGCCAGCCTGTTGCCCAGCATACGAGTTCAATTTGGCTTTGTTTCTCCCTGCTTGGAGTGACTCACAGGAGCTGTCATAAAGAGTTGGAAAGTGGACACATATGTTTTTTTGCTTCCTCACTGATGAATTTTACTGGAGTATTACATACTATGGTGGTTTTATTAAAGCGCTGTTTTGGTGGCTTATGCATCTCTAACACTGAGAACACTGTTCTTGGGGAGTAGGCAGTACAGCAGAGACCTTGGTTAGCTGTCACACAGATCCTCTGCCTTCTAAAACAAGGATTCTTTTTAAAAATTTACATGCAATAAACTTACCTTTACACTTTTCCCCTCACCTTTTTGCAGTTCCTAAGTTTTGACAAATGTATATAGTCATGTGACCACCACAGTTGAGATGTGGAATAGTTCTATAACTTCCAACGTATCTCCTCAATATCTCCCCACCTTTTCCTTTTGTAGTCAACCACTCTGTCTACATCAGCCACAGGCAACTGCTGATCTGGCACTTTGTTAAAACTTTTAGTTGGATTTTTCTTGCTGTTTTGTCTGGTGTCTAGCATCTGCCCCAGGTAAGCAAGTGTCTGCCTTATATCTCTTCATGAGCCCCTGCCTTTTCCTATTTCTCATGTTAGTTGGTTGATCTCTGACCTTAGCTCCGATGTGTTCAAGAAAAGTTGTGATTTTGCAAATGACCGCTCCTGCCTTTTAAAGAATCAAGGTGTAGCTCTTTCCAATTTAGTGTATCCTAAAGCAAAACCTGGAATTCAAGGATTTATTGAAGTTGTTAGATTTCTTACTCATCCACAGCCACTGTCCTTAGTAATAGGTTAGTATAGTGAAGGGTCTGGATTTTCAGGCACAGCTAGTCCACTTCCCAGGTTATCAATTCTCTGGTTTTCTGTTCCTCATCTGACGTGCAATAGTAGTACCTGCTCCAATGACCTTACACGCTGTTGTAAATATTTACTGAGCTATGGAGGTGATGGCACATTGTAAACCAAGCTGCTCTTCAACATAAGCATGTGAACATGTGATTCTTTTCAGTAACTTGTGTAAGGGGACAAATGAAGAATGTAAAAGAAGATGGTAAATTGTCAGAACCCTGCAAAGATTAATTTGCTTACCATGCAAGTGGAAAAGCTATATTTAAAAGAAAATTTTTAAATTTATTTCAGAGAGAGGAAGGGAGAGGCAGAGGGAGAGAGAGATAGAAACATCAAGGATGAGAAAGAATTTTTGATTGACTGCCTTATGCAAGCCCCCTACTGGAGATTGAGCTCGCAACGTAGGCATGTGCCCTGACCAGGAATTGAACTGTGACCTCCTTGTTCATGGGTTGACACTCAACCACTGAGTCACACCAGCTGGCAGAAAACTTATTTTTCTAATTGTTTCTTTTGCTTTTTGTTTACTTGCAAGTTATAATTACACTCCTTGCCTTTTTATTCTGGGTCTATTCATTCAAACAATATTAGATAGTGATTTCAGAATACAAATTATTTTTTGACTGTTGATAATTTATGGGCATGACTAAGATCCAGCTTATCTTTCATGGATATAATTGTTCCACAAAGTCAATAGAGTACCCTCATGTCAATGATCATCATTCCTGTGAGGAACATTTGCAACTACAGTGGAGGAGCTGCTGTGCAAGAGACACCCCTGTGGAGCAAGACTTGCTTCAGTGGGGCTTTGGTGCTCACCGAGTCTGCCCCTTGAGTGTGTTGCTCATGGATGTGTAGAGTTGTAATCTGGTATGGTCTGATGCTGTCCACTGTGTGCATTGGCTCTGGGGCTTCCTGGAAAGTGCAAAGTCAGCCACTGTCTGGGCCACCCACAGCAGCTACAGAGTGATCTGCAGATTGCTGCTACTTGTATTAGGCTTGGAAGTGCCCAGGCAAGGCCCAGTTGTGAAGCAAGGTGGGCTGGTGCAGGTGCTGGGTCTTGGGCTTCTTATTGATATGTTTGTGCCACACTGATGCCAGTTGCTGCTTGTTTGAGAGATTTTATAAAGGTCTGAAGCCTGAGCTGGAACAGGCCATGCATATGGAAAAGCCCCTGCAAACAGCTTGGGTTGGGCTGCAAATTGATGGGGCAGGGTGGAGTAAACAGTGTGGGCCACGTTGGTGGAATCTCAGTTTTGCAATGGGGAAGGTCCCAGCACAGGAACAGTGACCCATGTGAGCACCCCCATCTTGGAGAAAGTCGGCCCAAGTTCCTGCCCCAATGCCAGACAATCCACTTCCTCCCTGTATGTCCCTGAATCCCCCAAAGCTGCCACCCAGTGCTGGAGCTCAGAGGAAGCAGGACTGTGTAAGTTCTTGTGCTGGCCCTTTAAGAGGAACTGCCTGGGACTGTAGCAATCTCCCTGTTACTCAGCCACAATCCCCTCTGGTTTTTACAGCCAACATTATGTGGAATTCTCTTCCCAGTTCTGGGCTGGTGGGGTCTGGTGTGGGGCTGGGACCCCTTGCTCCTCACAGGAGGCCTCTACAGCCAGATATCCCTCCAGATTAAAAAAAACACACCACACCAGTCCATTCTGTGCCTTTGCCCCCCCCCCCCACTAGTCTCAATGTACTTTCTTCTTCTCTAGTTGTAGGACTTCTATTCAGCCAGATTTCAGGCAGTTCTGAATGATGGTTGTTCTGTATTTTAGTTGGAATTTTGATGTGTTTGTTGGAGGCAGTGAGTACCAGCATTTATCTACGCCACCAACTTGGTTCTCCATTGCCCCATCTTCTGTTTGGACCCTGACTGCCCACAGCTGTCAATCAGGGTTCTGGAGCATGGCATCCACTTGCTGTCCTATGGTTGGCTGCAGTCATATTTAGATTCCAGTGCTCTGTTCCACTATCAAGGTGTTTGCTATTCACAAAGCGCATTACTCACTGAGTAACTGTTGTGGTTGTCAGTTCTTTCTGGGTTGTCACTCTGTGGACAACACCATTTTTTAATGCCTCACTGGCTATTTTGTTAGGAGAAAGACAGCAAGGAATACTCTGTCATTGAGAAACTTTTCTAGAGTCTGAAGTTACAGACTGAAGTTACTTGGTTTTGTCTTTCTGTTGCAGATGTTGCTGCCATAGCCTGTGGTCGTGAATTCCTGGTTAACTCCAGCCGGGTGCTCTTGGACACCATACTGCAACTTCTGGGAGACTTGAAGCCAGGACAGTGCACCAAACTCAAAGTGTACGGTGGACAGTATTAAAGAGTTAATGTTTGTTTACAAATTAGTCAGAATTTGCTGTTTGGCCCTCCTTTTCATATAAACACAATTAATTTGACAGTGGTTCTAGAAAAAATAGAAGGAACAAATGCCTGCAGAATTCAGGGATGCAGTCTATTCAATACTATTTTAGAAAAATAATATAAACAAAAGGAATGTTCTCACTTTAGAGCAATCAGTGAGTCCCAAATGCAATCATGTGATACTTGAGGGTTATATTAATGACCTCAAAATGAACTTAAATAAGTGTTTGTTATGGCAGCATCTCACTTCCAACTACCAAAATCAGTCTTTATTTACTACTGTTGTGTAACAAAATACCACCAACTTAGGGGCTAAAACAGTATCTCCTCACAGTTCTGTAAATCAGAAGTCTGAGTGGGCTTGACTGGTTCTCCAGCTAGGGCCTCACAGGGCCAAAGTAAAGGCATTGTCTGGGCCGGGCTTTTTTCTAGAGACTCAGGGCAAGATGCTTCCAGGTGCATTCAGATTGCTGGCGGAATCCAGTTCCTTGCCTTTGTAGAACTGAGGTCCTTGGGGGTCACTTTCAGCTTCCAGGGCTGGAAGATTTCCTTATCACATGACCCCCACCTTACCTTCAAGTTGCAGTAGCTCACTGAATCCCTCTTAGATTTTGATGGGTTTAGATTAGGCATAACTGGGTAGACTCCCTTTGATCAATTCAGAGTCTGCTGGTTAGTAATTTAATTATATCTGCAGAGTCTCTCTGTCCTGTAACTTACCAAGGTGTGATATTCTGTGCATAGTCCCTGCAATTAGGGCAGGAAATTGTGGACTGCTGTTCACACCTTTCATTTCTAGTGTTGCTTTTCTTTTTGGAGCATTTTTTATAATAGCTTCTTTAAAGTCTTTGTCAGTGATTTCCAACATCTGTGTCATTTTAGCCTTGATGTCTCTATCTTTTTTTTAAAAATTTAAGTTATTGTTTAAAGTATTACATATGTTTCCTTTTTCCCCCATTGACCTCTCCCCAGCCATTCCCACCCCCCAGCACATGCCCTCACCCTCTCCCCTACTGTCTGTGTCCATGGGTTATGCTTATATGCGTGTATACAAGTCTTTTGGTTGATCTCTCACCCCCTGCCTTCCCTCTGAGGTTGGACGGTCTGTTTAATAATTCTGGATCTATTTTTGTTCATCAGTTTATGTTGTTCATTATATTCCACAAATGAGTGAGATCATATGATATTTATCTTTCTCCAACTGGCTTATTCCACTTAGCGTAATGCTCTTCAGGTCCATCCATGCTGTTGCAAATGGTAAGAGTTCCTTCTTTTTTACAGCAGCGTAGTATTCCATTGTGTAGATGTACCACTGTTTTTTAATCCACTCATCTGGTGATGGGCACTTAGGCTGTTTCTAGATCTTAGTTATTGTAAATTGTGCTGCTATGAACATAGGGGTGCATATATCCTTTCTGATTGGTGTTTCTGATTTCTTGTGATATATCTAGAAGTGGGATTACTGGGTCAAATGGGAGTTCCATTTTTACTTTTTGGAGGAAACTCCATATTGTTTTCCACTGTGGCTGCACCAGTCTGCATTCCTACCAGCAGTGCAGGAGGATTCCTTTTTCTCAGCATCCTCTCCAGCACTTTTCGTTTGTTGATTTGTTGATGACAGGTGTGAGATGGTACCTCATTGTCGTTTTGATTTGCATCTCTCGGATGATTAGTAACTTTGAGCATGTTTTCATATGTCTCTTGGCCTTTTGTATGTCCTCTTTCGAAAAGTGTATATATAGGCCCTTTTATGATTGGATTGTTTATCTTCCTTTTGTTAAGTTGTATGAGTTCCCTATAAATTTTGGAGATTAAACCCTTATCGGATATAACATTGGCAAATATGTTCTCCCATGCAGTGGGCTCTCTTGTTGTTTTGTTGATGGTTTCTTTTGCTGTGCAGAAGCCTTTTATTTTGATGTAGTTCCATTTGTTTATTTTCTCCTTAGTTTCCATTGTTTTAGGAGCTGCATCGGTAAAGATATTGCTATGACAAATGTTTGATATTTTGCTGCCTGTGGGTTCTTCTAAGACTTTTATGGTTTCCTGTCTTATGTTTAAGTCCTTTATCCATTTTGAGTATATTTTTGTGTATGGTGTAAGTTGGTGGTCTAGTTTCATTTTTTTTGCATGTATCTGTACAATTTTCCCAACACCATTTACTGAAGAGACTGTCTTGACTCCATTGTATGCTCTTGCCTCCTTTGAGCATAATGGCTTGGGTTGATTTTTGGGTTCTCTGTTCTGTTCCATTGGTCTATATGTCTGTTTTTGTGCCAGTACCAGGCAGTTTTGAGAACAGTTTTTTTGTAATATAGCTTGATATCTGGTATTGTGATCCCTCCAACTTTGTTCTTCTTTCTCAGGATTGCTGCGGCTATTTGGGGTCTTTTTTTTAATTCCATGTGAATTTTTGGTGAGTTTGTTCTAGGTCTGGGAAATATGATGTTGGTATCTTAATGGGGATTGCATTGAATCTATAGATTGCTTTGGGTAGTATGGACATTTTAATGATGTTGATTCTACCAATCCATGAGCATGGTATATTATTCTATTTGTTTGGCCTTGATGTCTCTTGGTTGTTTTTTGCAGCATGAGTTGGTATTTTTCCTTTTCTTCATATGCTGAGTAATTTTGGGTTGCCTCCTGGATATTTGAATATTATGTTTTAAGAACTGGGGTTTTAAAATTTAAATCCTATGGAAAATGTTGCCCAGCCGGCATGGCTTAGTGGTTGAGCGTTGATCTATGAACCAGGAAGTCATGGTTTGATTCCCGGCCAGGGCATATGCCTGGGTTGTGAGCTCGATCCCCAGTGTGGGGTGTGCAGAAGGCAGCCAATCAGTGACTCTCTCTCATCATTGATGTTTCCGTCTCTCTCTTCCTCTTCCTTCCTCTCTGAAATTAATTAAAATATATTAAAAATAAATAAATCCTATGGGAAATGTTGATGTTTTGTTTTACCAGGCAGTCAACCTGGTTGGGTTCTGGTTGTAAGTTCTGACTAGCCTTCTCTCTGTTGTGTTTTCAATGTCAGTTCCATTTTCAAAAGCTTTTACAATGCTATTGGGTCTGGCCTTCTTATGTACCACCTGTGGCCAGTGTGAGACCTGGATAATAGTTGATATTTTACTTCTCAGAATGTTGGATATACTGTTTATGATCAGATGAATGCATGCATAGCTTGGGGTGAGGCCAGGAATAATAACAACCCTGTGGGGTCACTTTCCTGAGCTTTAACTCTTCACATATCCCTGGTACTTGTTGGTTCCTCAGGGCTCACCTTTTCATCCAGCTGGCATGCTGGGGTTTTGTATGTCTTGCTGTGTCACATCCAGGGCCAAGTAGCAGGAGTTCAGAGGATCACAGTCCTCCCAGTGGTGAGGATGATTTTCTTCCCAGGGAGTTTGAGTTGCCTGAGGGCCCCCACTGCCAGCATGGTCATTGCAAGGAGACCCCTTTTCTACTCTGTGAGTGTGAACTACAGTCTTTGGGTACTCTTCTCTGTGCGGATCGGTGCCACTCCTGGTTTGGGGGTGCTGAGTTGCAGACTCACTGCTGGTCGGTGGTTCTCACACTTCTGGCCTTCTTCCCAGTCTGCCTGCTGCTGTTACTTTCTGGGGCCTCTCATGGCAGCTCCATGTACTCTTTTCAGTGTTTCAAGCTATGTTCGGTGGAAGCCAGAGAGTGGGTGTGTTCACTACATCTTATCTGGAACCAGACTTTCTAGTCTATTTTGGAGTTTGTACTAACAAATACGTGTCCACGAGCAATACATATAACACAGTGTAACATGAGTATATAGTTTTATATAGACTTTACAAGTTGTTTATGGATGTAGTTAATTATTTTTAAATATCTTGGTCTAAAGAAGATGGGATCTGGGTTACCTTTTACCCCTGACTGGTGGACATTCAGGTTGTTTTCAGATTTGAGTCTGTGAAAATAAGGCTGCAGTAAACATCTTTGACAAACATCTCCTGCTAGCCTGGGTAAGATTTCCCCTAGGAGTTTTCCCAGAAGGGGAATACAGTAGGTCCTCGGGTTACGTTGGAGATTTGTTCCTATGGCGCCACGTAACGCGATTTTCTCTGTAAGTCGGAACCCACCTACGTAAGCACCTACATCACTCACATGGAGCACATACACAGCAGTAATGAAGTGAAACAGTAAAAAAAATTTAAAAGAAAGATAACAATTCCTGACCTTTACTTGTGGTAAATAAATAATAAAAAACATAAAGCACATATGTGCATACATCAAAATGATGGAACTTTTTTTTTTTTTTTTTTTAATAAATAAATGGGAGATGGTGACGTAACCACAAAACGATGTGGACTGCCTGTATTTGAGAAGTGGGACGTGCACATTTTCAGTTTTATGAGATACTGGCAAGTTGCTCACCGAAGCATATGGTACATGTTTAGTGTTCTGTACTTCATACACCCTCCTATCGATATCTGTCTGCCTGTGTGTCTTTAGATTACCAGTGATGTCGAGACTCTTTTCTCAGGTTCAAACATTTGAGGGTTTTTTTCTGTGATTTATCTGTTCATGTCTGTTGATCATTTGCTAATGGGTTATAGTTTTCTTTGTGATATGCTGTTGTTCCTTATGTCTTCTGGATACTAAACCATTGTCTCTTTTGCTTCTGTGGTCTGTACAAGGTTAGTGTTATGGGTCCAGCTAACCTCCTCCTCCAACTTCCAAGCGAAGCTTTGTGTGAAGGCTGGTTTCTTCTGGCCTCTCTGTTCCACTATATGGAGCTCTGTGTCTTTGTGTCCTAATGAGCTCTTGTCCATTGCATTGGGAGATGAGGAGAATTGCCTTCAGAGAGATCTGCTTACTTCTTGGCAGTCTTCCACCTGACCACTGAGCAGAGCCCATGCACAGATGTTGGCCTCAAACCCACTTGGGATCTCAGTGTGCACCAGACTGAA